CACGATTATTCAAACTGTTGACAATAATGAATCCAATAATCAGGATCTTCTGTCATTGTGAATTTCATTTTTGGATTGTTGTAGTGGTTGTTTTTCAGTGGCTGATGCTGATTATAAAATATAGATCTATCTTTTGGAGCCAGTGGAGAAAAGTGAACTGCACGTTGGTCACACAGTCTCATACTCCAGATAAAGCAGATACACGAGTGCTGAAGGAGCTTCACTACTGACAATAACTGTTGTTGTGTGTGTTAGATTCGAAGCTCGGGGCGGCAGAGGTGTGGACATCTCGACAGGCCCTGCAGGACCTGTACCAGAAGATGCTGGTGACCGACCTGGAGTACGCCCTGGACAAGAAGGTGGAGCAAGACCTGTAAGCTGCCCCCCCGGCTCGCTGTCAGAGATAGAAGAACTAAAGAACCCCGTATAGAATGAGTCCTCGGTGCTGACGCCGTTTCCTCTCTGTCCTCCTGCAGGTGGAACCATGCTTTTAAGAACCAGATCACCACGCTGCAGAGCCAGGCCAAGAACCGGGCCAACCCCAACCGCAGCGAGGTCCAGGCCAACCTGTCGCTGTTTCTGGAGGCCGCCAGCGGGTTCTACACACAGGTGAGACTCAGCGTCCTCCAGTGTCAGTCCAACAGGGACAGGAAGTCCTGTTTCAGGTGTTCTCAGGTGTTCTTGATGGTAATTTAGAGTTTCCTGATAATCAACCTGTATGGATCAGTGGTTCATAATTCAGTGTGGTGCTCTACAGTGGAACATGGAGCTTATTCTGGTTAACGATGTGAACTCTCTGTTGTCTCCAGTTGCTGCAGGAGCTGTGCACCGTGTTCAACGTGGACCTGCCGTGTCGCGTCAAGTCGTCTCAGCTCGGCATCATCAGCAATAAACAGAGCAACACCGGCGCCATCGTCACCCCGCAGCCCAGCTCCTGCTCCTACATCTGCCAGCACTGCCTCGTCCACCTCGGAGACATAGGTGAGACAACGGTTCGACCCCAGAGCCGGCGGTGGAGGGAGATCTGCCGCCGCACTTTATTTCATCCTCCTTTCTGTCTTTCAGCGCGTTACCGTAACCAGACCAGCCAGGCGGAGTCCTACTACCGACACGCAGCTCAGCTGGTCCCATCCAACGGTGAGTCAGGCACGTTCAAATCATAGCTGGAGATTGGACGAGCTTCAGTCTGATCAATGAACAATATAACGCAGTCAGACAGTAACTGAAGCCGGTCGGGAGAAGAGAGAAAAGTCTTTGTGCCGTTATTCGTTCTTCTTTCAGTGAAGAAACAATAATAATAAAAATAATCAGTAAGTTTTCCTCATGCTGTGTCACTGAAGTCATTTTATCCAGGTAATCAGAAATACTTCCCAGAGGGGATCGTTCAAGGCACTCGTAGTGTTAAAGAATGGAAATAATACTCATATTACAATATCTAAATATAAAAAATAGAAATGTATGTATAGTAAAGTCAAAATAAAAATATAACAAGAGCCTAGAGTAAAGCTGCGCTTCCTGTTTGCCTCTCGTCGTTAAAACTTCCAGGCAAACCCAGAGAGTGAGGAACGCTTCATCTTGTTATTGTTTTTGACACTGAGATTAGAGCAGCCATGTTTGTAGTTTCTCCTGTGTTCGTGGTGTGATGCTCTTCTGCGCCCCCTGCAGGTCAGCCGTACAACCAGCTGGCCATCCTGGCCTCGTCTAAAGGAGACCACCTCACCACCATCTTCTACTACTGCCGCAGCATCGCAGTGAAGTTCCCCTTCCCAGCAGCCTCCACCAACCTGCAGAAGGCCCTGTCCAAGGCTCTGGAGAGGTAACGCCCCCCACAGGAAACAGCTTCTACAATAATCCATCAACAGTTGAGTGACTCAGATGTTTTTCTTCTGTATAAAATCCTCCGTCTGTGTGTCTGCAGCCGCGATGAGGTGAAAACCAAGTGGAGCGTGTCGGATTTCATCAGGGCCTTCATCAAGTTCCACGGTCACGTCTACCTGAGCAAGAGTCTGGACAAACTGGACGCTCTCAGGGAGAAACTGGAGGAGCAGTTTCAGGTAAAACAAAATGACACTTTGCAGACTCAACGATTTCTAAAGCCTGCATCATGTGACAGCTGACTGTGTGTGTGTGTGTGTGTGTGTGCAGAGGCTGATCTTGCAGAAAGCCTTCAGCTCTCAGCAGCTGGTCCACATCACCGTCATCAACCTGTTTGAGCTGCACCACCTCAGAGACCTGACGGCCGACGGCGGCGAGCAGAGCTACAGCAGCGAGCAGCAGATCAGCTGGTTCCAGCTGCTCGGACTCTTCAGTAAGAACCAACGGTTCACTTCACTTTGAATAAGCAGCTCAACCAAGTATCTTTCACACATTTAAACCCACTATCTCACATCACGGTTCAATGTTGGAGTTGCACTTCTTTAATGAACTGCATCTCGAATAAGATGAAGCTTTCAGTCTTCTTAGGAAGCTCCGTTAAAGGACCATTGCACTAGTAGTTGCTGGAAATAAAAGTGTGAACAAGTTTTTCCAGGTTTGACATAAAAGGATTGTCTGTATTTGTGAGCTGATAACAAAGTGTGTCTTGTGTCAATGATGGCATACCAACAGGGTTATCAGTCTGCAGCAGTCAACTAATATGAATGTGTGTGAACGGCGGTTCACTGATGGTCGGCTGTTGGTTGTGTGACTTCCTGTCCTCCTCAGTGTCCTTCCTGGGCGTCATGTGCAGCCGCGCTCTGCTCAACAAGAACCGAGGGGAGGAGATCATGGGGGAGTGTCCTCTGCCGGCCATTAAGGTTTCTCTGGACTGGCTCAAACTGAGACCCAGCGTCTTCCACGAGGCCGCTGTGGATAAGAGGCAGCAGTAAGTTCTTCTTCTCTTGTCTTTTTCTGTCAGTTCTGCTGTTGTTTAAAGTGTGTTTGAGGAACTGGTCTTCCTGTCCCTCAGTGTCTGGCCCTGGCTGGTCTCCATCCTCAACAGTTTCCAGCCCAAAGAGGACGACGTGTCCTGTTCCTCAGGTAGGACGTTGGTTCTTTATTTAGTTCAGTGATCAATATGAGCTCTGATCTCTTCAGGTTTTCAGAATAGTGGAACAAATGATTCTGTTGTTTGTTATCACAGCGTTCCTTCAGAATAAAAGCTGCTCTGCATGTGGACGTCTGTCCTGCAGCGTCTCAGGGACACTTTTAATTTCCCAGGAAGCTTTTCACGTGTCTGCACATGTTTCCTCCTTCAGTCCACACTGACTCTGATTACTACCCCTCAACATTACGCTGTCTTTATCAAAGCTCCCAGCAGCCAGTGAGTTTGAAAAGGATGAGAGATTCAACCTCCCAGACACGGCGGCGTTCTTCTCCTTAGTGCCGTTGTTAAGAAGATCACCTTTGGGCTGTTGTGATCAGAGGGTGGCAGCTGGGCAGTTTTAGGGGGAAGAGCTTTAATGGTTAGACTTTTACAGATGTTCTCAGACTATCTGAATCTTTTAGTTCTCAGAAGTCGGGTCAAAGTTTTCAAATCGCTCTGCTATTGAGCCAAACTGCTAATACTGAATTTGACCACTAGGTGTCGCATGTGACTGAGCTGCTGCTGAGTGGAACACAGTGACAGTGAATATGAGTGGAAAACAGGACAGACAGGAGTGGGTCACAACGAGTTCCTCACCTTTTAATCTGCTCCTGACAAACTGAAGCTGCCTCGCTAACAGCAAACAGATGAGCACGAGTGAGGGACGGTCGTCAGGGGTTATCGGTTATATCGGAGCTGCAGTTGAATGATTAACAACATATTTGGGTGATTCTTTAGTTTTTCAATTGGAAGGATGTAAGCACAACCTCTCTAAGGAATGGGAACATACAGCACAATATATTCAGCAAACCGTCATACAAAGCTGTGTTTTATATCATAAATAGAGCATTGATTATACATCTGTATATTGAAAGGGGAATTGATGGGTCATTGTTTCCATCCAGCAGTATTTTCACAAACTAGTCAGCAGTGTGTAGACTGTCTGCTCAGCTGAGATGTGTCTCTGTTTAACTCACCAAGCTCCTACACAAACCTGCAGGCTGCGTTGTTACTGAACACATCAAACCACTGCCACGTTAACCATTTATTAGTTTTCAATTCCAAAATCCTTCAGCGTTCCTGTGTGTGTTTGTGTGTTTTCAAGCTGAAGGTGTGTTTATTTTCTCTTCAGCGACGCCCCTGCCAGAGGAGTTTGAGTTGCAGGGTTTCTTGGCGCTCCGGCCCGCTCTGAGGTACGGCACTCCTTCATTCAGTGCTGGGATAAATGTTCAGCTGCTCAGTCAGTCACAAGGTTTCCATGCTTTAACGTCTGTTGGTGTTTCAGGTCCCTGGATTTCACTAAAGGTCATCAGGGCATCCTGGTGGACAGGGACGGCTTACCGGTCCACACTCGGCATCAGAGACTCATCAGTCTGGGCAAATGGGTGGCCGACAACCAGCCGGGGTGAGTGTCTGCTGTCACTGCGTCCCTCGGCCTCTGCAGCAGTAGAAAACAACCGTATATACTAACTAACTTTGTGCAGTCGAGTACAAACACTGGACGTCTGTAATGTTACTGTGTGGTGTTATAATGTCCCCGGTGAAACATCCGAGCTGTGGAATACATGTATATCAGTGTGGAGAACTCGGAGTCTCTTCAGAGGACATCGGTACATGATCTCTGTCTCCTCTCCGCAGGCTGATTCAGTGCAGAGTGAGCGAGGACGGCCTCCTCGTCTTCATCACCGACATTCCAGAGCAGGCCATCGAGGAGCCGCAGGAGAAGGAGGCGCCGGTGCTGCAGGAGTCGTCCAACGGCGAGCAGACGGCCAACGACGGCGGGAACTCCGGCCTGAAGTCGGTGCTGTCGGCGGGGAAGACGCAGAGCTCGTGGCCCGACGGCAGCGACCGACCCGTCGTCACCTTCAAGGAGAACATCAAACCCCGCGAGCAGAGCCGCGAGCCTACACGCAACCACCACCTGAAGGACAGCGGCAAGGAGCGCCGGGACTTTGCCAAAGGCAACGGGGCTGCTGGGAAAGGAGAGCTGAAGAGGGACGGGAAGAGGAAGAGTGAGCTGAAGAAAGCCGGACACGAGAAAAGCAGCGATGCTGGAAAACAGGTGCAGACATCGGACCTCATCGCTGACAGTCAGAATATTGTAACGAGGACTCGCGTTGAACCGCTGTCGTTGTTTTCTGTCGCTCAGGTGAAGGCGCAGACGGAGCTGAGGAAGACTCCGGTCTCTGAGGCGAAGAAGACTCCTGTCACTCAAACTCAAACCACCTGCTCCTCCCAGTTCATCCCCATCCATCATCCTGGAGCCTTCCCACCACTGCCCAGCAGACCCGGTACGAGTGCTCGGCGTCATTCACCGTATAAAGCGCTCACCTTTACCTACACCCACAAATGATGAGGTTTCAGTCACACATGGCTCTGATGATACCGCCGTCAGACCGGTCATAGTTGGAGATTTTCTTCCAGCTGATACAATAAGAAATAATAGAACCTATATTATAACTTATCGGTCATTTGCAGAAGAATTCTAAAAAATGATGATTATTATTATTATTCATCCGCTGTCATTTATTTTATGGGGACAATTTCTAATAATATAAATGTCTCATTATTGTCTGATAATGATCCTGCAGCCGTAGTAAAGTTGTCTTTAAATTCCTCTATGTAAAATGTTTTATCATCTTTAGAAGACAGTGAAATACAGCTGAACCTTTTAGGACTCTTTAATCTGCTCAGTAGTTTGAGGGTTCCCACGCGTCCTGGAAGACTTCACACAACCTCAGTGGGTTATCCCAAAATACAGTTATACAGTTACTATTACTGCTAAAGGTTTAGATAAACTGATGAGTCAGGGACAGTTACCCAAAAGAACCTAAATTAAATACATTTGTATAATTTAAATAAATAACAACAATTAAACGGGTCATTAAATATATATATATATATATATATATATATATCTGATATTTCTATAACTTTGAATTAGAGTGAGTGAAAGAGAAGTTAGAGTAGGACCTGATGGGAACTGTTCATGTGTCAGACATAAGGAGGAAGCAGCCACATAATGAATCATTTCTAAGTGAGGTACAGTCTGTTTTAATTCTGCTCCTGATCGGTTCCCCGGCAGGTTTCCCCCCCTCCGCCTACGTGATCCCTCCCCCGGTGGCGTTTCCGGGGCTTCAGGTGAATCCGGGCTTCACTTTCTCCACCGGCGTGTCCGTCCCCGGACCCTTCCTCCAGCCGGGCGTCCACTCCCAGGCCGGCTCTCAGGCCGGGAAGCAGTCCCACATTCCCTACAGTCAGCAGAGGCCCTCCGGTCCCGGTCCGGGTCAGGGGCCGGGATCCACGGGCCAGGGGCCCTCGCAGGGTCAGCAGCCACAGAACCAGCCGCCCTCCCAGCAGGCCTTGCAACAGTCGGTCCAGCTGCAGGTGCAGGCCATGAGCCAGCAGCAGCAGTCTCCCACCAAGCCGGTGCAGCAGGTCGGGATGGGGAAGAGTCCGCCTCACCACCCGGGACTGCAGCAGGTCAGTAGTCTGTCTGAAGCCTGAGAGGCAGAACCCAGGGCGCTAAAGTCCACACAGCACCCACGTCCTGTCCGTCAACACGGAGTCTGTCCGCTCATACAGCCGTCAGTGAGAACATCTACATTAGTTGATGATTAATTGTCCAACTCGTTCTACCTCTGCCGTCTTGTATTCAGGTTAGGAGATGACTTTCCTGTGAAACATCAGTTCTGCTTGATGTAGAACCGATTGAAGTTATTTATGGGCTGTGGCTAAATTAGTGTTGGAGTTAAGGGAAACTGTAGGCCGCCAAACCAAGCTAATGTGGAGCCTCAATGGAAAGAGAGAGGTTTTCTTAAAGAGTGAGAACCCTAAAAAAAGCTTCAGCAGCTTCCTTCCCATGAGTAAACTACAGTGTTTGTGTTAACATTCACTGTCAGTCTGAAGAACATCCAGAATATCAGCCGATTGTCTCTTTAACAGTGTTTATTGAGCGTGTGAAGGGTGTAAAACTGCTATTAAACATGAAGAACGTGCTGCACGCCGCCCTGCACGCCGCCTCCGATGAGACGTTCACTGTCTTTGTGTGTCCGGTCTCAGCAGTACATGCAGGTCCAGGATCAGCCGGCGCAGATGTGGAACCAGGCTCAGGCTGCCCTGCAGAAGATGTCTCCCATGCAGATGTCCATGAAGCAGCCTCAGCAGCAGCAGCAGGCCTTCTACATGGCGGCTCAGGACCCCCTCAAACTGTACGAGCACCAGCTGCAGCCCCCCAGCATGGACAAGAAGATCAAGTACCCCAACGTCAAGATGCAGGACTTCTACTGGGAGCCGTCCTACCGGATAGGGGACGGCCTGGCTGTGATGGCAGACAGGATGAAGAGGCCTCCGCCGGGCGGTATCTGTCCCGAGCAGGACCCCTCCGCTGGGCCCCGGGGGCCCCCGTTTGAGGTGAGCAGTGAGGAGGAGGAGGAGGAGGAGGAGGAGGAGGAGGTCCTGCTGCTTTTCTCTCTGTGCTTCTTTTCCTCTTTGTCTGTTTTGTGATTGGGAGATGGACGTGAACAGTTGTTGTCTCATTTGATCTGTAACCCTTTAATGGAGGAAGCAGAGTTCCTCTTAATATAATCTTAATCTCTCTGTGTTCAGCCTGCTGCAGCTTTTAGCTTAACGTCCCTTCTTTCATCCTCTGTCTTACCGGCTTGCCTTCTGTCTTTTCTCTTCTTTTTTTACCCCTCTATCTATCTATCTATCTATCTGTCTATCTGTCTATCTCTCTCTCTCTCT